TTCTAAAGCGATTTCAGTTGATGAAGTTGAAGAAGCCATATTGCAAGCACTCACCATGTAAATAGAATGTAACATAGATGACATTTTGAGTTCACAGAAAAAAATACAGTGGAATAGACTTTATAGTAATTATCAATAATAATAGCTATTATTATCAATATTATTTTTCGTACTTGACATTATTCGTACTGCGTAACAGCGAACAGTATCAGGCATTCTACATCTAGGCGAATTCTGTATTTTATAGGTCAGCATAAATTCAAAGTTTGAAATAAGTTGAGCTGCTTACATATTAATAGGTTACTCTGTGCGATTGCACTGCAAATTAGATAAGTTGAATTTGCTAGAAAAATTTAATTATATGATTTAAGGTGTTTTATTTGAGCGAATGCGAGTGAAGAATTTTCATTTTCCTAATTAGTGATGCTAAGTGGTTGGTTGACAAATTTATTTCACTGTCTGACGATTCTCTTCGCGACCAATCATCTGAAGTTGTTTTGCGTTATTGTCAACGGGTTTTCGAGCATGAAGGACATATTGACTTTAGCCAAAGAGATTAAAGCCCAAGTTAGTGCGCAATACACATAAACGATTACATTTTAGGTCAATGTAATAGGATAGACTGAAATATTTTTTGATAATTGACACATAAATTATCACATAAATGATCGAAGCTGTCTTTTTCGCCAACTAACAATACGAATTCAGTCATACCTATGCAGATTAATAATTAGGGTCAAATAATCACGGGGCAGTCGCAGTATTGATTGTCGTTAAGGTTTCGCAGGATATCGGCATTATTCATGTTCAAGGAAAGTGAATAATGTTTCAGGACCACTACTGTTCATGGAAAAGTCTTGACCAAACTGCAGTAAACTTCAAAGAGCACAACGTTCCGATTGCTTTGATATTCACAGTTAACCATAGTTTGTCGCCAATAAAGGTTACGATCTTAGACACAAACATATGCTAAAAAGAAGACGTAAACTGATGATGCGTTGATCTGTAGTAAGCCTGAATGCTACCTTATTCCTAGACGAAGTAATAATTATAACTTAAAATTAATGGCAGTTTCTTGGGTGAGTAAATCAAATTTGCTCGTTTGGTCGGTACTAGTTGGTATATTATCCTTTGGAAACTGTTCATGACCGTAATCTCGTTCACTTTTTCATACGACTTGCACATAAAATGCAAATATTTTAGTTACATTCAGTTCTGGAAACTTATCATAGACTAGCTTGCTTATTACCTGAAGACTCAAATCAGTTGTACGCGGTCGTTTCGCACTTATCCAAGAATCCAAAGTTATACTTTGGAAAAGTTCACAATATTCGCAAATTGCATCGCAGTTTCGATGCTATTAGTGAGCCAAGTGCAGGTTCATTCATATGCATTTGAATTTTCTCGCAGTTTCTGGCTTGATTTCGATTCATTTGAGATTAAAACAAATTGAGTAAATTTCAAGAAAGACTTGCCAGATTTGTTGTAAATGATTGGAGGAGAAAATGTAAAAAGGAAGCAAAGTGCTTCAGATGGTGGTGAATCAGGGAATGGTACGTGTTATCTGATTCAAAAAACGATCACAATGATAAGCGATTGGCTACCGAAAGCGTTTTTCTTTGAAAAAGTCATCAAACATATTATTCTTATAAATGGTCATAGCGAGCAGTGTCCTGTAAGCGAGCATTTTCACGGAATTTACTTCAAAGGTTGTCCTCAGCGCATCACATTCACAATCTTTGCAGTTTACTTCAAATCACAGAAATACTTATATCCACCAAAGCCAATTTATTTTTGTACTGACACGCAGTGGAATTTACTTTACTCTGTCAGAATGATGTGGCATTTTTAAGCGAATTAGTGCAGATAATTCTCAAAGTGTATGCCATTTACAGAAACCAAAGTAGGGACATCTGATAACTTTCAAGTTTTAAGTTAATACTTCAAATTTCAGACAGTAAATTACATCGCTGGTTCGTGAACCAAATAGTCTTGAATGCTACAAAAATGCATCAATTACATTATTATGATTTGCTTCGAGGGAAGGACAGTGAAAAGTTGCTGAAAAATGGCAAAGAACAAAACATTTTAGAAGGCATCCAATTGATACTTTCTCATGACATCGGGCAAGCTAGACAAGGCCAGTCTTAACTTATGACTATGCTGAGTCAAGCCTCTTTTCATTCTGCTGCACAGTAGTCTAAGCGGAATCCATCATTTAATATCGTTGCTGGAATTATGATTCTGACCTCTGTACTTGAGATGTAATTGTGCTGAGCAACTGTGAAACTGACACGAAAATTGCAGAATATTCAAATATAACGATGTTGGAAACATCGTTGAGTAAGTTTTTACGAGGGATAATACTGGAATCTGTGTTTGCTGATGCAGTTCTTGACTCAGATAGAAGAGATAAATGGATCAAATATGACATGAACGATTTCAAAAAACAGTTCCGTAAGATTGTGACGTTCGGAAGGTACTGTACAGTTAAGCTTTGCGAACGAATTTAGATCATATCGAAGATATCCTTGACGGGTTTTCAGCTATGTTAATTCAGTATTGCGCAGTCTTCTGATATCTCCAAGACTGACCATTTTGAACACTTGTTTAAATTTGATATGATTATAGTTGGGAATGGCTGCTAAGCTTTCTGCGCATAATATTTTTTATTATTGGCTCATTTGTTCTGGCAATAACAATTTGTGCATTGTGTGGCTTTGCTTGCATGCTTTCAACGGTTGTTCGAGACGACTATTATAATCGACGGTTGCGTAGACAGCGTGAAGTAGAACTGCGCAATTTGGCAGAACAATTTCAGGGAATAGCCCTTGTCAGTAATGAAATTTCCTGAACAATCTGTCGGGTTTTGAGTCAAAATTTAATTTACAAACATTACTGAAATGCATTTTTGTAGAACTGAAAGTTCTTTTTTCACAGTGCCATTTGAAGCTGATTTCCTGCACTGCTGTACTTTTGTATTTATTTTAGGACTGCTAATTAGATCATTTCAGGGTCGTCCGAATCAGTTGAATAGAAACGCTGAAAATGATATAAATACAGCCGTCGAGCAGCTGAGCATTGTGAGTAGCGTTTGGTAGTCACAAAAATTGCAATAAGTGATCAGTTTTAAATAATTATTTCGAAGAAGGTTTAAATTCAAAAAATGTTTGGGTTGAATGGGAAATGGAAATTTAGACATCAGAAGCAGACTGCACTCAAGTGAGCAACGTGATCACTGATGGAACTGGTCTGCAAACTGCGTGTTCTTCAGAATCGTCAGGAAGGGTAATGTATGGATGTCACTTTTTACCTTTTATTCATCACTAACATATTAGTTTTGCTAATATCTTTCAAACATTTTCTCAAATTAGGTAGTTTTTTTTCACGTATATATTGCTTGTGATCAAAGATACCAATACATTAACTCAACTTATTCATATTCGCAATTACTCAATCAATAATGCGATTCAAGATTGATTCCGAAAATAAAACCAGTTTAGATCCTTTTGAAAATTTAAAAAGGGATTTCAGTTCCATATTTCAAAGGTTTTTAATGATTGCATGTAAAGTTTCAGACATCATTAGAAGATTATGAAGTAGTTTCTGGCGGTACTAAGAGTCAAACTGAGATTCGCTCAGCTGTGATTTGTGATTCATAGGCGCAAACAAATAGTAAATTTGCTAAGACTGAACACACGGTAGTTTATTCAAGTATTAACGTGAAATCTGAATTCTGTTTTGTTACGCATTGAAAGTCAATAAAATGTGTTACAACAGGTAGAATTGATTACGTGGTGAAGAAGATATCAACAGTTGATGATGATTTGATCTGTAGTAATGAATGACGTTTGAAAATCGAAGTCTGAGATTAAAGTTTCTGCTGCTCAGAATCACACCGACTTCACA